ATGTGATGAATTCAAAATATAATGTGACGTATGAAGAATGATCGATTGAGCAAATGTGACCCGAATGACATCATTAAATGACTTTAAAAGTACCATGTGGCGAATTGAGAATGTAATGTGACCTATAAAGAATGATCGATTGAGCAAATGTGACCCGAATGACATCATTAAATGACTTTAAAAGTACCATGTGGCGAATTGAGAATGTAATGTGACCTATAAAGAATGATCTATTAAGCATATGTGAGTTGAATGACATAATTATATAATCCGAACAATACAAATGTATGACCTGTGTTTAATACTATGTGATCTAAACATTACAACATGGGTATTGTAGGGTAATTATAAATTGGTCGTAGAACTTATTATTACACATAGGTCACAAACACAAATTTCCTACACAACACATTTGTAGACAAGGTCGCAACTCATTTGAATACAAGGTCACATGGGTCACAAACACATATAGCCCCTGTTTGTTTCCCATTCTTTCCACATTAAAATTAAAAATATGATCGTTATCCATCACAGCAAGCCACCGTATTTGAATTTCTATCTTTTGTGTGAGGCCCGTAACGACTATATTTTTCATTTTCAGTTTTACATAAATGGGAAACAAACGGGGCCATATTGTGCAAAACACAAAATACATTCATTGTACATCATGTTATTGTGTGTTCGTCATATAACTATTATTACACAAAATGTCAATTTGCCATTATAAAATTAGGTCACATACACAGAATATGGTCAGTACATTAAATTTTTAAAAGTATAAAAAAAGTCATAAACAACTTGCCCATCAAATAGAACATCCATACAAATAATTCACATTCTTAGAAACTCTGTTTTACAACCTTTAAAAGGAAGCAGTTCGTCAACTCCCTTTTAGGCTAATAAAAATTTAGGGTTTCTTATTAATTAGTTGGATCAACATCCATTAGAGAACAATTAAACGTGCACCAATGCAGTCCATTCATTTTAAATTGTCTAAAAATATTATAATCAAGATTATAACTTATCAAGGCTAAGCCCTTTTATGGTTTTCAATTTCAATCCGTATTGTGCATTCGAAATCTAGTGGATTCAATCAGATTACTTAAGAGAATTTGGATCCCATTATTTCAAATGTTTGAGGAGCAAGATAATTTTCCGCCCAGAGCTAACGTGTGGCGGATCATGAAACACATCCTACCTGAGAACGCCAAAATTTCCAAAGATGCCAAAGAAAGAATTTGTATCAGAGTTTATAAGTTTTGTAACCAGTGAATCATCATACAAGTGTGATAAGGAGAATCGGAAAATGGTGATTAGAGATGACGTTTGTTGGGCTCTGAGTTCATTAGGGCTTGATAACTTCTCTGGAGGTTATGCTAAGGTACACGTTCAGGGAGCTTCCACAACCCTTGTCAAGAATTTAACTGACTCATGAATGAACCGTTGACAATATTTTTAAAGGTAACTTTTTTGTATTTTTCATTTTTGAATCTGTCATTTTCTTGTACTTTTCACTTTTCAGGATCAAAGGTAACTATGTACCTTATAACATCAACATTTATGTTGCTCATATATAATTTTCCTACAATTTTTCAAGCTTGGCTGGGGATTGCAATATTAGTTGGGAAAGTCGGATCACATACTGAAATCCTATTGCCAAGAACTTGAATTTCATCTCATCAAATGAACTACTACAGGAAATAAGACAAATTTGAGGGCGCTACAATCTCTCAAGGAGTTCTTAAAGGAGAGAGAGAGGATGAATCTGCTACTCTTGCCACCATACCGAAAGGCATAACTTTGTAAATTTTATTTCTTCATCGATTATATAAGTTGAAAAACTGTAATTAAACAAGATCTCTCCTTCTCTCGATCTGTACTAGCTCCTTTTCCTTTTACTCAAAAGTCAATCTGGAATGTGAATTATCTCTTACTTTAAGCTTTACATCTGGGGTCTACTGACTCTCAATCCCTTTGAACTCCTATCCATAAGAATTTTTGGTTTATTTTATGATTATCAAATGAAAAATAAACCTATGATTAAATCTTTAGAAAAAGAGAAATTTTTTTTGCATCTTCAGCCATACCTTCTGAACATAAACCACTTTCAAATTCAACTCCATAACCAGAACATTATTCTCTTTGTAATTTGTATAAAAAAATTATACAAATTACTTTTCACTGTTTCTATGTCAATCCATTGAAATTATAAATTCTAATATAAGCCAAAACGTTAGCATCAGACAACGTCCTTGTATGTGTTTAGTCTACATTCTCAAACAATTGAGGACATTGTTTACAGTTAAGGAAGATTGGAATTTTTAGTAGCCATATTTCCAGCCCTATCAAAGATTCATCCTCTGTTTTTTGCGGCTGATTAAGACTATTGAATCTTTAGTTATTGTTCTCTGTGGATTTTGGTTTTTAGCATGGATTGCTCCACTTGTTTTTCATGTTACCACTTTCACGTGGATTCTTTCACATTGTTTAACATGAATTAAGTTGTGGATCATCCTCATACTTAACCTAGGGTTTATGCAACTTGAGACCACTTCTCCAATATGTTGGAGGAATTGCAAATTATGGACAGTGGTAACCATAAGTAAAATGGTTGAAATATATATCTCTGCCAAGAGAAATGATACTTCTCTTCTTTTTTTTCTATCACTTTCTTTTTCACATTATTAATCTGTACACAATTATGTATAAATAGAATTACTCTTCTTCTAATGAACAACATCTAATAATTTCTTTTAATAAAAGGTTTGGAAAATCAACTTCAAACTATGTAGTGGGAAGACATTAAACTATGTGCTTATTTGAAAATTTGCTAAAATTTTATCAACTTTTGAATTGATCGAACTTCAACTTTGACCACACATTTCATGGAATTTATAGTTTTTATCAATTTTTAATCATACGTCTCATCTACCTTTATTAAAAGCTGTCACACAAGCAATATATTAATTACAACTTGTTACACAAGGGCAAATCCGAGTACATCTCACTAAAATTATTCATTTCGTGATTAGGCATGCCCTCGTACTTCTTTAAGAGAATTACAACCAAATGATACCATGGAGGACATGTTATATATAAAACGTTTAGTTGAGCTCAAGTTACATTACCACTATAAATTGGTATATACATTTTACTTATTGTTCAATTCCTTTAACTCAAATGTAAATAATGGATGATAGAGAATGCTATCAAGATATATTTATCAAAAGCTTTGTTAGGCAACCCCTAAATACTGTGATGCTTGGACTCTTCATTCCGGCCGGGGTACACATGTCCACACGACACGGGTACAGGCACAAAATATGGAGTGGACTCGACACTTTTCAATCGGACATGGCTAGGTTTTCCTTTCTTTCTTTTTTTCTTCTCTCCCTTTTCTTCTTTCCCATTTTTGCTCTGCGGAGGAAGAGTTAGGCCCGGCAGTGTCGTAATTGGGGAAGAGGAGGTCTTAGGTGATTCAACCAACGGAGGGGGAGCGGCTGCAGCAATTAGAGCTCCGAAGCAGAGAGAAGGAAGAGAATCGTAGTGAGAGAAAGTGAATGGACCTAGGTTAATAACTGGGCTTTTGGGTTACTTTTATTTCTAGTGAATGGACCTATGTTAATAATCGGGCTTTTATTGGGCTTCTAGGCTCATAATGGACTTTTATTTCTATACATGCAGACTTATATTTATAACTTTATTTGCCCCATTTATTTTTTATTTATTGAAATAATTATTTAAAAACAATTAAAATATGTTAAAAAACTCTTAAACTTAATATTAATTTTTGAAAGTATATATTATAACAAAAACTTATTATTTTAGTATAAATTTTAGATAGTTTTAAGTTACATGTTCTATCCTTTAACAATTTGTCACTTAATTATTATTTCACTTTTTGTATACAAATTTCTACAAGAAAAAAATTTGAAGTTTGAAAAATATATATGTGTGTACCCGTGTTCGAAATTTGGACTCTTTTTTAGTCATATTCTCGTACCCTACATTTTTTAAAGTAAAAGATCTGACACCTAGATACGTATCCATACTTGATACTCATACCCGAGTCCGAGCATCATAGCCTAAATATACACATATTTATAATGATTCACCCTTCACAGGACAACTATATGTACTTTATGTTGCAGATTTTTCACAATAATAAAAATCAAGATGATAAAGCTATGTCTTATCACAAACGAAAAAACAGCCTCCCTCAGACGTGTGTGTCATATGAACCTAGTGCATGGCTTAATAAAGGTTTCATCAGAGTATAAGTGAATAGGATAATTAGACTCACACGTAAAATAAGATGCATACGTACATGTGAAGCTGAGAACAAGAACTCCTACCAGGGAGAGCAGTTCCACCCTCATTATCGTATTGGAAATAACCTTCTATGGAAAATTGGCTAGTTGATGAGCTTGAAACTAAAATTATGGCGTGTTAAAGTATGGAGGATTCAATTTTCATTGGAAGGAAAAGAATCTGATTCCATATATATGTATAGAAGAAAGCTTGAATTCATGAATCTGATGCCATTTATGTAGAGAAGAATCAAGAAAGGTGAATTCTAGAAATTATTTGGCACATAAAAGCATTAACTCTGCAATTGAATCATAAAAATTGAGTTCAAATTAAACACGCGACTCATTTTCTTGGTAATAAAACTTGATTCTGAAACTGAGGATTGAAGAGAAAATATAAGATGAAACTTTAAGGGCTAATATTAAGGGTTATTATTAGTGACTATCTCCATAAGGTTAACATTTAGACTATGTGAAATGAAAATAACAGGTAGAATGCGGGTTGAAAGAAAAATTATCCTGTTGTAATCGATGAGCGTAACCAAACAAGCTCAAGGCAAAAGAAGGCTTATTTTTTACCAGAAGAAAATATTGCCTCAAAATTACAAAAATGTTCCAAGAAAGAAATTATAATTGATCTCACAAGATTTACAACTACTGTGTCTTAATTAACAACTCATTTCATATATTCTAATTAATATGGTAAGGAGAAAACAAGAGTTTCAAAAGATTTTCTTTGTTGAGCGGTTTGGTTAAAAAAGCATCTACTCCAGCCTCAACCATCTTGTTTATCTCTACTTCTCCTCTTTCATGTGCAGTTAGTGCAATGATTCGTGTGTGGACACCATAATTTCCTTCTACTTCTCTGATGCGCCTTGTTGCTTCTATCCCGTCCATCAATGGCATCTGCTAATACATCAAGAGCAAAAACAAAACTGAAACAACACTTCCAAAAATGCGCCTACAGTAATGGATTTATTACAAGAAGATGTGCATGTAAATGATGAATTTAATTTTGTCTTATTTTACCTCACAATCCATTAGGATATAATCAAAAGGTAGTGAAATCTTGGAAGCACCAGTTATGTGTTGATCCATGAGACCTTTGTATACGGCTTTCTGCTTCTCTGATGCGCCTTGTTGCTTCTATCCCGTCCATCAATGGCATCTGCTAATACATCAAGAGCAAAAACAAAACTGAAACAACACTACCAAAACGCGCCTACAGTAATGGATTTATTACAAGAAGACGCACATGTAAATGATGAATTTAATTTTGTCTTATTTTACCTCACAATCCATCAGGATATAATCAAAAGGTGGTGAAATCTTGGAAGCACCAGTTATGTGTTGATCCATGAGACCTTTGTATACGACTTCAAGAGCTTGTTCCCCATTTACACATGAAAAAGTGTTTGCACCTAGCTGGGAAGCAAAAGCTGTTGCTATTTTACGCCCGATGGGATCATCATCTGCCACCAAGATTTTTTTCCCTGTCAATAACTTTTTACTGCTCACTTCCTCGCCCTTTTGTAATGGAAGACACTCCCGAGATAATTTATCTGTCATAGCCCTATTCTGACTCATATCAGCTGTAGCTGAAGTTCGAGATTCATGATGAATTTGTCGAGATAGAATATTTTTGGCATTGTATGTATTATCCCCTTTTCGTGCAAACTCGGCTGGGAGTCTTGGACCTAGATACAATTTTTTTGGGACATCAAGTTCCTCTCCATTCTGGCTAAGATTATTTTCTGAGGACGATTTTCCAGCAATTTGCCTTGTGTGCGTCTTATTGGCTGCAGCAGAAGTGCTGTATTCAGGCAGAAACTTATCAGAATTGTATGGGTTTTCTCCTCTTCTCAGTGTCATGCCCTTTATTGTGCCACCAAACCCCGGTAAAAGTCCTATAGTTTGTTTTAAACGAGAGCCATGGAGTGGCTTTGATATGATTAAATCCATTTCAGGTAGCTTATCCTTGTCAAGGCCATGGAAATTAATGCAATTGGTGCCTGGTTTATCTAACCAAACTACTCTACTACAACAATTGTTGCTTAGGTCCCTTCTGAATTCAGCCATAGCCCTACTGATATCACGAAATGGCCCGGCACCTGTATCGATCGCAATCAAAATGAAGCTGGAAAAACTTATAGTACTATCCTATCTTTGAAAGGGTAGAATATTATCGATACCATCCAGTGAACTAAGGGGCACATCCTTTGATCGAGTACTAGATGCCCTTAATGAATTAATATCAGATTTACCTGAAGAGCTTTGGTGTGAAAAGTTTAATTTCTGTTTGATTCTCTTGAGAGTCTCAGAAAGTTGTTCGTGGTGCTTGACTGTATATGTTTTTATCCCCTGCCGTGCCATGAACTTTTGTATGACTCTACTCCTTTCGGTGCTCTGGATAAATATTACGACTTGAGATACTTCTACCTTAGGGCTATTAATTTGATTGATAGACCCCGAATACTGATAAGAGTCACTAGATAGGAAACCACCTTGAACTTCAATATCATCATCTCGTGCGTTACCAGACATGCCAACCTCAGTACAAGTGCTAAGGAAGGCGTTGAACCTGAAACAAGTTCCCCTTTCCCCAGTTTCCTTGTCCACAATCCTGATTTCACCTCCCATTAGACGAACCTTAAATCATAAAAAAAAAAGTAACAGTAAAGAAATGAGCACTTAGTTTCAAAAAAACTGTAGCATATTTTAAGATTTAGCCCTTGTTTGGGCTCTATTAAAAATGCATTTTGGAAAAAATACATTTTTGAATAGTAATACTTTGAAGAATGTGCAGTTAAAAAATAAAAAAAATGGGATTACATATAATATTAATTTATTGAAAAATGTGTGGTTAAAAAAGCGAGAGATTTTGGAGAATAGAGTCCAAAGAGGGACTTAACATACCAGAGACTGAACAATGCCAAGTCCTAAACTAGTTCCTTCTTGTCCGAGAGCTGTCTCTTTGAATTGAATATAGTTTTCAAAAACAGACTTTTGCTTCTCTTTTGGAATCCCTTTCCCTGTATCATTCACCTCAAATATATATTCCATACAATTTAGATCTTGTTGAATGGTATTCACCACTCCCGACTGACTGTGTGATTTGTCAATCAGAAAAAACAAGCATGATAAACTGCTCATCCAATTATTACGATTAGAAGCAAGTATTCCATTCTCAAAACTTGGTTTTCTTGCCCATGCACGAACTGTTACATGCCCGTCTGAAGTATATTTGACAGCATTACTTAATAAGTTGCACAAAATCTGCTTCAATCTTCCATGATCACCTCTTACACGAGAAAAATTCTTAGTAACAGAGATATCATTGGTATCCAAAACCACATCTATCCCCTTTTTCATCCCGACAGGATCATACAAATCAACCACATCTTCTAGAAGTTGTTCCAAGTTGAATTCTTCTTCTTCAAGCTGCATTTTACCAGCTTCAATCTTACTTGTATCTAGAATGGAATTCAATATACCTGAAATAACACACTATTTTTTAACTGAAATTTTTGTTAACCTACAACAAAACTAGTATAGCTTAAAAATGAAGCAAAATTACTAATAAAACTTCTTTGTGGACGAACATAATTTGATAGATACTTTTTACACTAAGAAACCAACCATTTTAGAAATTCTGAAGTCTTAATCTACATTCTAAAAAAGTGACTTCTAAGCTTAGCCAAACTTGCTCATAAATATTATTCTTGAAACCGTACCAACCTAAAAGGTCCTTTGCACAAGCTTCCACTAGTGTCAAATTTGTCTGCAATTCTGATCCAGGCACAACTTGATAGTTACATATTTCTATCAAATGGCTAGCACTAGCAAATGCAAGACTCTTATTCACATTTTTCCTTTCTGCTTGTTCAGTCGATTCCTTTTGCCTTATCAGCACAATACATAACTCCATCTCTCGTATTGCAGCTCGAACATTCAATGACACAGAAGTGAATATGATGATTGCCATATCAACAAAGATAAGCATGAGTATCACGAAGGCGAATTTTATGTTCTTGTGAATGACAACCGCCACAGAGTTTTCAGGTAAAGCTAGCACATATACCTATAATTCAAATGAAATTTTAACATCTCAAACATATGTGTGCCTTGTGTATTTGATTTAAATAAATATGTATTCAAGATAATTCATGGATACGTTTTATAAAGAAATATTACAGTTAAATTTATGTAAATAATGAAACATACCAATTTTACTCCAGCAATTTCAACTGGTGAACAGTTAACCACATACTTCTTCTCCCATATGCTTAATGTAGAGGCTCGAAATGTACCATCATCGGCCCGACACTTTACATTTCCAACAGTTCCAACTCGATCGCCATTACGGCTTAGTAATTGAAATGAAACTTGATTTCCATTCAAGATCATACGAGTTTTTGGAATCCCTCCAGTGAGTACATTCCCATCTTTTGTTCCAAGATATAAGCTTCCATTATAGAAGGCTATTTCAGTGAAGAAATTAAACAATGATTTCATTGAAAATCCTAAAGACACTATCCCTTTTCCATTCATACCCGTGGTACTGAGAAATAGAGAATCTCGAGAAATTTCCCATTGGGATCCTATGGAAGCATAGCCATGTGTACCATTCAATGCTTCTTGATACCAACTTGAATTGATTACATCAGAATGAGGTAACTTTATTGATTCACCATATAGTTTTCCAGTCTCACGACTTACAGCCTGAGTATACCAACGGTACTTTGTTGTATCATTTTCGGTGGAAGAAAACGTAGAGTTGGAAAACATTGCAAATAGTTGATTGCCTCTTGTATAGTACCCGAAGAACAAACCGTTTAATGAGATAAATGAAATCTGTGATAGGTGAGGAATTGTTGATAATGCTAGAAATAATGTAGACGCCACCTACATAATTCAAACAAGAACATCAAGATTTTAGCTTCTTTTTGTTTTAGTCACCAACCAAATGCTAAATTTGATAGATATATACCAACCTTGGATTCAATCTTTGCGAATTGAAGTTCATCTTGTTCCAATGATGAGCTTAAAGATCGTGCTAAATTGACAGACGATGCATTGATTGAATCAAACAATGAGGCAGTGTTTTCAATTAATTCAGAGAGTAGTTGTTAGGAAATTAAATTCACTTCATTTTTTATTCTTGTAATCATGATCCAGAAGGGAAGTATCAAACCGGGCAGCAATAACACCATTAACATCTGTTTTAAAGTGTAAATAGAGCAATTTAAATCATATTTCTAACAATATTCATATCAATGCTTGAACTTATAAATTCAAAATTCTCACTAATATATAAAAGTGTTACCAGGGCAATGAATAAACAAACTGGCCGCAATACTACGAACAAGTTTCTGATCTTCATTCTAGACTTGATTTTCAATGGATACCAATAGTTTGTCCTGCATCTCCATGGAAAAGTTAGGTATTTACAAATTACTATGGCATAATAGCGACATATATTCCATTCCACAAAGAGAAATTATTTTGAGTAATTTCCCTTGTGCTCACAGCAGTCATATAGTTGGCAGCACCTGCGTGGCTCTTTTTTTTTTTTTTTTTTTTCCTTCTTCTTCTATTTTTATCATCTGCCAAGTATGCACCTATAAAAATTCTGTCAAAATTTTTATGCGCACATAGCATCACTCAATTATTTTATGCATATACATTAGGCAAAAAATCCAACCCAAAAAAGCTATGAAAGAAATCAGTCATTTTATGACCAAAAAAAAAATTGCTAAAGCCACTTAGGGTTTTATGAACAAATAAAAATTTAGGCTTAAAGCCACATCTTTTGTCGTGCTAGCTAATGTTTTATGAACATGTATACTTTTGGTACACAATAGTCTAACCTAAATTCATATATCTATGTTATTTTAAACATATTTAAAAAAACAATAGACTAGTTACTTTTCAAAATATTAGTAATTTATTAATTTCCCAGAAGTGTAATTTCATAAGCAGTGATACCTAAAAAAAATCAGCCTAAAGAAGAAAAAAAAATCAAGACAAGAACAATAATATAAAATAACAATGTAATCAAACCTTTTTTTTTTCTTACAATAAATTCTTCAAGTTTCATATTTGATAATCTATGATTTTGAGCACGTTTTATACTCACCTGCATGTGAAAGATTATTGTTTCTTTCTTTGCAAACAATCGAGTTTATAATCAGAAGAGACAACCAAAGAAAAAGAAGCCATTAAATTTTTCACTCAACAAAAATGTTTGATTTTAAACATCAACCAAATTAAGTATTCACATAATTAAACATTTGCAGATTTATAACCAAAAAAATATTTTTTTTTCTTACTTGTTTTTCAGGCTCTTTGAAAGAGCGTAAGAAGGAGAGAATATATATAAGAAATGACTCTCTAGAATTCTCTCTGTGTGTGTATGTATAATTGCAAACTCCCGCTGGCGTGAAGTATATATATTAATATGAAATCATCTAGAGTAATTGACTTAATTATATAAATCATAAAGAGTAATCTGTCCTATCATTTATTAATAATAAAGAAAGAAATCTACCTTCTCTTAAAAGAGAGGATCCTATTATTACTATTCATTCTTGTGACATGAGCTTTCACACACTGTTCATCAAACTAGTTTTGCGACAATACATGTTTTATTACCTAAAGCTTTCCTCTCTCAACTTCAAAAGCAAAGCCTACCTTATTGCCTTCTCAAAACTCTCTCTTCTCTCAGCCCTTAAAGAAAACCCTAGCCTACTCCTCAAAAATCTTAGATCTCGAAGGATGGTTCCATCTCAAGCACACCCTTCTATCCTAACACTTGAGCCACTGCCTTCGTCTTCTTGAAAAGAGAAAGTATTGTTGGAAAAATAATTAGTTGCAGCAGTGATCAGAACAATATAATGCAGAAATATAAAACTTATCGTCCGATCGAGTCTTGTGACAGCACGATGTCCTAAAGTGAAATTGCCCGTCAATAATTGCTGTGACCTCCGTGGACAATCACTCCCAGGATACAACGATCGTAAACCACTTATGCAGCAATCACGAATGGTTTTTCTAGAACTCTCAATTGTACTCCAAAATAGATATAAAAACCCGAATATAAGAAATTCACAATATGAAAAGAGTGATTGATTCTATTTTTTTTTTTTTGTGTCTTTTCCCAAAGCAAGATATGGGTTTATATAGACAAGATGGTAGTAACAGTCTTCACCATGTTAATGCAGAATTTTAATGACTGAGTAGTGGGTGTTTTAATGGCAGTTAGTGGGTTGTTACAAAAACAAACAGTCATAAAATACTGGCTAGTTTTACCCATTAAATAATGAAGAAAAAAAATATTTATTTTAGTCAAGGAAGCCCAAGGCCCAAATCAAGACATTTTAATATTTGCGTGGGGAGTGATTCGAACCCCTGACGTCCCACACAAATGTCACATTTCCCACCACTTTGGCACTTTATCTAATTTGATTATTTCTTTCATATTTTATATTTATACCATAAATATATAACAAGTATGTGTGTAAGAGAGAGAGACAGCAAGTGAGTAAGCTGGTGTTTGGTGGGTCTCGATTATCTGGAATACTGTAACTCTTTTTTTTCTCCCTTGGATAGAAGCAATCGATGAGACTAAAACTTGCTAAAGCCATCTTAAGCAGCGAAGTCAAGAGAGAGTGAGGAGTTCGTGATATATTCGAGGGTGACGCTTATGGCATCAGCCAACGAGCCGTCATCATTGGTAATGGATTTTCGACTTCCGAAATCCTAAGCATTGACTTCGTATATGTAAATATGATGCATGAATATGAGCATTATATAGCTTCGAATTTATGAAGTGACTTTGTTGGAAAAAGTACACTTTCTACTTCATCTCTCTTAAAAGGATGTGAGACGGTAAGGGTAATAGTTAAATACTGTTAAGTTTGTGAGAAGACGACTGTAGGGAGCATATAACACCCATTGCGCACAGAAAAGTTTTTGAGAAGAAGATAAGTGGGGAGCGTTTAGTATGTGATATTGAACACAGTTAAGTCTGTGAAAAGAAAATTAAGAAACGTTTTGCAAATAGTATTAAATAAAATTACTTGTAAGAAAATTTGAAATACTTTTATTATGAATTAAGATCTTACACTTGGTTCAAGAGTGAAAAAAACCTAAATAAATGCGAAAAAAGTGAAGTTCCTAGATATTTATAATGAATGATCTTATGAAAGTTGTATTCATTGATTGTAGCATGTTGCACCACAAAAAAGATGATTGCAAGATAATCTCATGTTTCAAATCGAAAAAGTAATACGATGGTTTAGTACAAATATGAAGCTCAATTTACTTCAGAATAAAAAAATAAATTAATACAGTATGATTGAGCTTCATAAAGTCCAAAGTATCGACTACGTGACAATGATAAGTCCAAATATATAAGCCTCATACCACCCCCCCCCCCGGGAAAAAAATAATAATTAAGTGAAGTAATGCTATTTATCTAGACTTGTGAAGTATGTGACATTTAAGAGAAATTCATTTAATTATCATCTAATGGAACCCATATTACTATTTTTAAAATGACATATAAGTCAACAAAACTTAATTGTCATCTGATCATGAGTCTTGATAAATAAAATAATTCACTGAGGTGGTCATGTCTTGAGCCCTCATTTGATTTAGTTAAAAATTAGAATTGTCAATAAATTTTGATAAAAGTTGATGAACTTTATAGTTAAATAGTTTTAAGTCCTATAAAATATGTTGTTAAAAAAGAGTTTTAAAAAATTGAGGCCAAACAGTAGCTTAATGCTACATCATGGTAATCATCCTAGTAGAAACATTACTCTTTTGAACAGGAATGTTAAAGCATAACTAACCAACTAGTAAGACTAACACTATCACTATTTCTTTAAGAGCCTGCTTGGGATGTATATTGCATATAGATCTACTGGTAGTATCGCAAAGTGGTTAACATTAACATTGCCATAGAACATTGAATCCACGTCCCATTTCCCACTCACACTTTTCATGGACATATCTTTTAAAAACATTCATTGACTCATGACATTTGAAAATTTTTTATTCCTTGAAATTTCATGTACGTTTATGAATGTATTGACGTGCATGAATATATCATGAAAAAAATTAATAACATAAAACATAATAATCAAATATCAAGATCGCGTAATAACAGATTTTGGTAACATATATATACATTTAATAATGTAACGTGTGCATGAAGCTTATGGAAGCTTTACTTACCTGAGGAACAATTTACTTTTAGCATATAAGACATAGACGTTTGTAGCGGTCCACAAAATGAACTTGCCAAAGAGTCCTCAAAATTAATGAAAAGCATGAAAAATTATGAAGTTTCAAGTATCGATAACTCTCGTCTGTCTCCTTTTGGTGCGGCGTAGGAAAAATAATTTAGCTATAAAAAGGTCAAAACGATAAATAGCGATTGGGAATGATTGAATAGGACGATTTTAATTCTAGGAATGCCAATTTGTAATTCATTATGCAGTGTGGATTTTAAATTAGTAAAATCTTGACTTCCATTCTTAAATAAATAAAATATGGTAAATTTACAAATAAAAACTCCTTCAAATTAGCTCCATTGCCAAAATAATGCCCCAATTATTGACTTTCTATTAATTAAATTAAATAATATTAAATTTACTCAATATAAAAAGTCTTGAATATTTCCATTCATATGTAGATTAATTTTCGTAATAATAGTAAGCTATAAAATCATAGACATATATTAAATAACATGTTTTATCTTAGTTTCATTAAAATTAATCCCAATAACAATAAAATTATTTATTAAGTACACACTAAATAAAATTAATTAAGAAAGCAGAAACACCTATCACGTAAATAAAATGTGGCATTACAAATACATAATCTATTAGGACATAGTAATTATGAGAATGAAACGCATGGTGTTACACTTCAACTCACCGATATGCTTTTACAAATACCAACAACAAATTCTTTGATAGTTGGTAGACTTTGAACAAATGTTGTCAATTGAATTATGAGTTTCACAAATCTATAACTATATCATGTCATTTCTTCAAACGTATCAGCCTTCAAAAGTTGTTTGTCTTCAAAACATTCAATTCAAACATTTTGATATTGTCGTGAATCTATGCACAATGAAACAAACGCTTCATTACCTTTTAATTAAACAGTGAAACAACATTTCAATTCCTATCCAACTCAAAAAAGTAGGAAATAAGACATGAATATCAATTAAATGTTTATATAAGCTTAAGTAAAATCTTTCTACTACAAAAATTCAAAGTAGATAGTGTGACCTTCTTCTTTGAAAATTGGCAAAGCATGTTTTTCTAATGTAAAGCAAACCCTTAATTCACAATTCATATTTGCATTTTCACAAACACCTTGTATACATCTCTTTAATTCATCCATTTCATGTATAAATAAAAATCATAATCGTCAATCAGAAGTTATATATTCGTGTAATGCTATAATTAAGAGAAATACGCATAAGTGCAATTTCAACATAATTAATTGGAACGTTAACACCCTAGAAGATAAGATAAATAAGCAGATTCTATAGCAATAATAAAAAGACATGGAAACAGAGATAGATAGTACTTTTACACCAATTGTAGAGTTTAAATCACAAATTAACACCGATAGTAAGAACATAAAGAGTTTAAAATATAAATTACAGAATGAAACTGAAATTAGATATGAAACTAATACCAAAATTTGAACATTTACACTCTCGAAAAAGTTAGAATTTAAAAAACAATATGGAAAGGAAAATAATTATTATGTGAAATTAGAGATTATGGAATTAGTTTTTATTTAAGAAATAAATATTACCCGTCCGTGATTTTCCCGAGCTGAGATATGGGGAGATTATGGAATTAAGTATTTTAATGATTTTTTTAAAATTTTAATAGTACTTAGGAGCCGTTTGAGCCTCATTATTTATAGATTGTAATGAGATAAATAATATTTTTTTGAAAAATGAGTCGTTGAAAAGTTTTTGATTTACCTGTAATATTATTTTACTGAAAATTGTGTGGTTAAAAGTAGGAGAGAAAAAAATTTAATTTAATGTAATGAGAAATAATGGGGCTCAAACGGGTGCTTAATACGTTTTAATTTGTAATAGAGAGTATTTTAGTTTAAAAGATATTTTATAATGATTTTTCAAAAAGCCCCTTATGTTTGATATATTTGTCTAATTGCCCCTTTTCTAAAGTACCGATTTTAGGTATTTACGAGGGGTCCAATTTTGGACAATTTTTAATAGCAATTTTTCAATTATTCAACCCATTTTTGGATGTTTATTATCTAGCGATTATGAACATTTTAGAAATAATAAAATTACATATATGTTCCTGAGTAAATTTTCAATTTATAATTTCTCGTATGAATTTTTTTACCAAGAAATGACAAGAAAAATGTATAGTCTGATTGTCTTACGTGAAGCAGATGTCGATGCAATTCGTGATCCAACGTCGTCCAGTGCATCTTCCAACTCTACCCAACTTTATGAGGTTCATGATTATGAAAATCCTGATCCAAACTTTCATGCTGTAGATCCTCAGATTTGGAAGGAGAAGATGATCAAATTCATAGGCGAACTTTTTGATGATTTTCGGCTTCCTTGCTCTCGTGAAAAATGTAAACAGATAACAATCTGAAATATAATTCTTGCTGAGATTTTAGGTTCCAGTTTTCTGGTGTCCACAATTGTACACTTAACGTAGGAATGAGAATGAGATCAGTCTTGCAAATTGGAGATAAATGCAGATGTAGAATTGATTAAACAGTATCTTCTTTCTTACCTTACTGGGATTTTGGTCTGGCAAATGCCTGATAAGTGTGACTTTTTCTGTTGGTTCATCTAAATTCTGTATTTCTAGTATTGTCTGTCGAACACATTTTGAATGTGTTAAAGCGATGAGTAATTGACAATGGCGAATTTAGTATGGGAGCAGTGGGGTCAGCTATCCCCGCACTAAATTTCAAATTCAAGATTTGCACAAGATTTTCAAAAATTTCTTTATAATTTTCGATTTTACTCCCACAATTAAAAATTTGTCTCTGTCCTTCAAACAATAGGTTTTAATTGAATTTGCAGGTGTGCAATTTTATATTATTATAAATGATCGAATCTAGCATCAGTACAAAACTATGTTTACTAGCAGAAAAGTTATTATTTTGTAACTTGTTTAAATGAAGAAAAAATTGTTTATATTAAAACTGTTATTAGTGAAAACGGATGAAGTCGTGTTTATTGGGAAATACAGCTGAAGATTTGGCCGGAGAAGAGAAGTCGTTGATTGAATTGATGATTTTGTTTTGTCCCACATCGGCTACTAAATTTAGGGGGGAGGGAAGCAACTGCAATAAAAACAGCAATCCATTTGTTCAAAAAAGCACGCAGCCGTGCGATGAGCGCAAAGCGAACTATTCTTTCGCCTTTTACTAAAGAATACCGTGTGCTCGTCGCAAACCAGCGGCATACGCCTATTTTTGGAGGGGTCTCTCCTACTGGGAGTGCCCCAACTAGTTCTAGTCTAAATATCTTTTTTTATTCCTGAGCTCTTGAGCATTTGTGTATTCAGTTTGTGGTTTTGAAAGAGTGAAAACTCTCTGGATTTTTAGAGATCTATAGTTATACAGATATGTTGGACTTCGAGGAATGCTTGCGAGTGGGAAAGAGCATTGAAGTAGCCATGGTGGAGATGAGTGGGAAAGAGCAATGAAGAAACCATGGGGTTGAAAAGAAAGATTAGAACCCATTTTTTTTTCTTTACTCGGAAAGAAGACAGAATTTTGATTAAATTTCATGAAGGAAGTGAATTAAAGAACTCATTTTTTCTCAAGAGAAAGGGTTCCAGTTTTAAGCGCAACAAGTATTCAGACCAGAAAAATTTTAAATGAACTGAGATTTCCAATACAAAGGGTTGGATGTCTTAATCTTTAGAGGCATTCGCCAGTTGAGCAGATACATACACGTGATTTAACACTATATTTCGCTAACTCGATACAAAGTTTTATGAGTACATTAACATACCTAGGGTTAGGATTTTGACTTGGTGTTGGATCAGAATTTTTCTTCTATTATCGGTTGGTACAAATATCTATGAAATGAAATAGTTTTTCCTCAACAAATGAGTGCTTAGTCCACAATATTTCTAGATCCCATATAAGCCCAATGCTATAGTTGCCAAAAGCTCAAAAACACCATACGTGCCCCCAACTAATAATTCGTAACTCCAAATTTGTCACCATCCCTCGTGTTACTCTCTACTCTATAAATTAGTTATTCCTAAATAAGTTATGCATGTGTTGGATGAACCAGATCATGATCGAATTTGAATTTTCCATTAGAAGGGGTCCACAGATGTTTTGTAGTACCTTCCTGAGTGAAAAGTTCTTTTGTCTAATTAGGATAAGATTATGTTTGTTTATCCTATATTTCGAATATGATTTTTAGTTTTCTGCTTAAAATAGTTTAGAATCCTACACTAAAAAAAACTAAAACTTTTTTTTTTTTTTTTTTTTTGATGAAATAGTCATGAATTATCTTGAAGTAAGACTTGAATATCTCTTCTAGTTTCATCTGATATTAATATTTTTTGAGGTGAGATTGGTATTTGGGTTGCGTTAAAAATGTTTTTCATTTAAACCAGCATAGGCATAAACTCTTCACAAAGACCTTAATTCAAAGGCCAAACCATTACACGTGTCACCATCTTATGGAAAACACATCTCTGAAGTAGAAATCGAAATTCATGTTTATATAATTATTTGTTGTTCAAAAATTGGGCACCTTTTTGGGTTGAAATGTGAATGAATTAATGATATGATATTGGAAAACAATGTTGAATGAAATTGGAAGGTCATATTTGGTGATTTCTACTTAAACATGCGTACACATAGATTAAATGGCCATGTGTAAGCAGGGCCCTAACTGCAGAAAACAGAAGCAATTTTACTTCTACTATGCGTGCACAAGGATATAATGTTGCGTACACATGGTTAAAAAATCTAGCCGTTGAGTTGATTTTTTATTTGAATTTCTAGTGCCTTTTGTTGGAAAGTTCTCAACTTTTCACGAGTGTTTGGAGCCTTTTCGTGGTGTAATGTTTCCTCATTCTAATACATATTCAAATCTTCTTCGTGTTTTTAAAAAGTTCAAAAGGAAAGAATCATGTTGTTTTTGTGCTTCTTTCTTGAAAGCTTGTCATTCCTCTAAAGTATTTGCCGAAAATCCTAAAAGCATACCAGAGGAGGCAAATATTGTTTTGAGGACAGAGTGATACTAAACATATTCAAGCCTCATTCCTTTTTTTTTTTTTTTTGGTCTTTTCCATCTCCTTCTCTTTGATATTTCCAACATTTCAAAGCGACTTCAGTGTTCTCCAATTATTGGGCCAACTCGAATGGATCTCATATTCGGCCGCCTCATTCATTTGTTCTTGGACCATCCTTCATTTGAGCATAGCCCAAGCCCAACACTATATTTAGGCTATTTACTTTGATGACTAACGAGAAAAGACCTTTCCAATTCAGGGCCTACAACATGATTACACTCTCTTTCTCTATCTTCAACTAGCCTAAGTCCTCAACTCCACTGTAAAAGGACAGCAAAGGATAACTCTGAAGGAAAGAAAATAACGCATAACATAAATTCTGAAGGAAATGACTCGAATTACTTGTCCCTAGGTCACCTGGTACTGCTGGTCATCTCCCCTATTAAGGTACACAAAGAGGTTCTTGTTCACATGGAACACGAGACACATGTCGTGTTTTTTCCAAATCTAAACGCATGGCCTTTGCACCCAACACTGCACTACAGCTATGGTAAAGAAAAAGGAAGAGAAAGCCATAATGAACTTGGCATTCAAAAGGCGAAATAGATACCAAATTGTTCAAGTTTCACCGCCTCTGGGAAATTTGTCCAAACAAAAAAAGGAAAAAAAAAAAAAGAAAAAAAAAGCAACTTAATCAATGCAAATGTAAACTAAACAATTTCAAACTCGATAAGCAAAGTACTTCAACTAGTTTTGTTTCTCCATAAGGTTGTTGCTCATAAGAACAGCCTGCCGCATTGTCGATCCACATACGTAACATCTCAGATTCTCGGCAAAACTTGTACACTATGAATCCTCACACCATCCCATGAAAGCCGGCAGAAACCTGGAGTACTGCTTTAATATGGTTTGGATTGAGGTCTTGACCTTCTTTACATTGCTGAAGACAACAATGGTAAAGAGAAAAAAATCAGAATGAAAAAGACAATGTCAATGACAATCAGTAATCAAAGGACCTCACACACAGGAGCGGATTTAGTGTGGGGGCAGTGGGGTCAACTGCCTCCACACTCAATTTCAAAACCTCCTTTATATAGACCCCACTGCCCCCACACTCAATTTCAAAACCTTCTTTGTATAGACTAAAATACAACCTTTATACAGGTATTGATTTTTATCACATTGTAGAAACCCACTTTTTGCCCCCACTAATAAAGCGCGGCCCTTCTCACAGGGATAGTATGCCCCCTTAGAAATTTTTTGTTTCTTTGGGAAAAACTAAATAAAATATAAATATTCTTAGCTCATAATTGGAGACTCAGATACAATGTACAAGAAAAAAACTTATTTCAGGTTAAATTTCACGAAGGTGATTGTTACAGATGTATTGCCAACACGATCGAGTAGGAGTTCTACAAGGAAAAAAACTTATTGCGGGTTTACTTTCACGAATGTGATCGTTATGGATGATTGCCAACACGATCAAGTAGAATTGAGTACGACAAGGAGCTCTAAGTATATAAAAAAGAACTTATTACAGGTTTACTTTCACGAATGCGATCGTTATGGATGTATTGCCAACACGATCAAGTAGAATTGAGTTCTACAAGGAGCTCTAAAAATATACTGGGTTTTACGCATAAAGTTCTAATTTTCAAAATATCGATAGACCAATAGGAAAAAGAACTCCAGTCTCAATGTATATCGTGCACCCAATTGTTTTAGTAATGTAGTTAATCTCCCTATTATTATTCTAGCATGGTATTATCTTTCCATAAGGAGCACTATAACTGCACTATTTTTACACAAAGAAGTTCTAATACACTAATTGATTAGTGGGAAAAAATATTTTGGTCTCGTTGCGTCTCCTGTGCCCAATTGATGGGGTGACAATGTTAATCTCTCCATTATCCTTCTAACATAGTATTTTTTCAGGTACCAGTCCCGAGAGAAGGGAGGGAGAAGGAGTGTTCTACATATATACTAGTTTTTATTTTTCACAGATAAAGTTCTAATCTCCTAAATATTGACTCACTAATGGGATAAGGAACTCCAGCTTCAATGATTTCTCGTGCACCCAATTGTTTTGTGATGTAATTAATCTTCCGATTATCCTTCTAGCATGGTGTTATCTTTCTACAAGGAGCACTATTACTACGCTTATTTTTACACAAAGATAAAAGTTCCAAAGCATTAACTGATTAATAGGAAAAATATTTCGGCCTCAGTGAGTCTCCGTGAACCCAATTGATGGGCTGATAATATTAGTTTCTCTATTATCATTCTAACATGGTATTGTTTCATGTACCAACTCTGAGAAGGGAATTGGGAGGGCAGGGGTGTTCTACAAATATACTGTCTTTTGCATAAAAAGTTCTAATCTCCAAAATATTGATTGACTAATGGGAAAAAAAACTCAAGTCTCAATGTGACTCGTGCGCCCAGTTGTTTTGGTGATGTAATTAATCTCCCTATCATCCTTCTAGCATGGTATTATTTTTCTACTAGGAGAACTATGCATTAATTGATTATGGGACAAATATTTCGGTCTCGGTGCATCTTGTGTGCACAATTGATGGGATGACAAAATTAATCTCTCCATTATCCTTCTAACATGGTATTGTTTCAGTTACCATGCCGGGGAGGGGGGGGGGGGGGGGGG